ATCGTCTATTAAATCTGATGCCCGAAATGCGACCAATCCGATGGTGTTGTTTATGGGAATAAATGGTGCTCAGATGTTGATCTATGAAGTTACTTCCTTTGCTGCCTTTGACATTCATGTCTTAAGCTTTGAATTAGTCATTGCTGAGTTTTGGTCATTTGACTGCGAAACAAGCCAATCGTTGTAGTTGGTGTACGGATGCCCTGACGGCTGCCGTCGTCATCGACGTCGAATGCGAGCTTCCTAGAGATTCGTCTGCGCGTGCACTGCGCAGGCAGGCGTAATACTCATGCAAGAGTTGGCTTTGGAAAAAAGGTGTCTAGCTGCGTGCGAGTTCTGTAATTGCTACCTCGTTCCTCACTTCTTGTTGGAAGCCATCTTCCTCATATCTGTGTATCCATCCGTGCTGGTGCTCAGTCAGTCGTTCGCCAGCGGTACGGCGTGTCGTCCGACCGCTTGCCCGTTCTCTTACATTTCGTTATGTGTTGTCTTGCTTGAGCAAGTTTGAAACGACGGTTCTCTAATCCGTCCCCCTGGTCCGTTTGCAAATTTTTGCCCTGATGACCTTGCTTTCGCTGATACTTTGGATTCGACCAGATTGGCAGAAAACGAACGGAAAGCCGACAAGTGTACAGAAGAAACAACATCTATCTCCTTGGTCGATGCCTCACTCAGTCGGTTGTTATGAGAAAATTTTTGTCATCACAACCTCCATGAGTGAGTCATTGCGACAGGAACGTCGTCCGTTTCGGCCGGCCTTGCATTCATTTGTTGTTGTTTGTTGCCAGTCGTTTGTTGCGTGTTTCTTTCGAACACGGGATACTGAATGACGCTGTTTACGTTTAGAATCGCTACCCATACCAACCATCTCGGTCTCGGTCGAACGAGGAGGATAGTCCACGATGCGTTGCAGATCTGGGCCGATGCCTCATCCCTTACTTTCACCGAAGTCGCTGACCACAACGCGGACATCGTCGTCGATTTCTTCAGGTATGAGCGCTATTTGATGAATAGCTGATATTTTCATTTGATTAATTTTAAGGCAGGACCATGGCGACGGTTACCCGTTCGATGGTCCGAACGTCGTGTTGGCGCATGCCTTCTTTCCGGGTTTCGGACGGGGCGGCGACGCGCACTTCGACGATGACGAGGTGTGGACGGACGGCGAAGAAGAGAACAACAGTACATTACATTCCACCATTATTTATTACTTGTGCTTACTGCTCCGTTTTCTTCTTTGGTCCACGACGGTCGGCCCTCAGGTTTCTTCTTTTCTTCTGTGTTGAAATAGTGCATAGTAAAACGGCCACCGCCGCGATGCCCCGAGCCGGCTTTTTGTCTTTATGAGAAGCTGGAAGCGCGATGCTGATACTCGTTCCCTAAGTGATGCCGTTCATTTTTTACTGCAACAACACATGTTGTTGTTGCTGCATTGCTGCTGTCGACCGACAGGCACCAGCAAGTGTGTTGCTACAGCTACGACGTAACTTCGACGAGAAACGGCAGTTCATATATCTGTTCCTCTGTGATTCTTTGTCGTAATTCTCATTGCTCTCTTTGTCACTCATTTCTCCCTACAGAAGTCCGCCCGCACGCGAGTATTTTTCAAAACATGTTCAGAAATATGAGAACGAGTTCTGTTTTGATAAGGACTTTTAAACTTATGGGTTTCGTTGTCAAAATAATGTTTGTAAGCGCTGAGAGCTTCTTGAGTTTAATTTTAGGTCATTTAACACCATGCCTTTCTTCGTAATCTCCACGCTTTCCCTTAAAACCGAGAAGTCCTGGATTCTAGCCCTGGTCGATGTCATTGGCCTTTCTTACTCGTTGATAAACAAAATTCACTCTGATAAATGAGTGGGAAGGAAACAGGGGAATACAAAGTATGCTTGTCAAACAGTTTCCATTGATTCTGCCTTTAAAAATAGCACACCCCTTGCTGATGACATGAAAATTGAGATCATTTTATTCTCTATACAATGCCTTATTCATGAACATATTAATCAAAGTCGTACCGAAGCTGTGGGAATTAAAATAGAGAGCGAAATGTACGAGAATAGAAAAGAAACTGAAATATTGCAAGGGGATATCAGTTTGCTGGACTGGCGTCATTCTTTTCAAGAAGCTTGCAGTGCAGCGTTGATCTCTATTTCTTCGCCACGACTGACTGTAATTTAGATCGGTTTGTTCACTAGATAGATTGTCGTAATTGACGTTCAATCGGGTCGTTCGCCTTTCTTCCTTCTGAAGTTCATAAATCAGTATCATCTGTTGTGGTAAATCAGCTCAAGACTGAACATGGTGCATGCGATACAGCTGCCGCTGATTCTGCCTTTAATAAAATGCACTTCTGGTTGATGCCATAAAAATGGAGATCAGCGCCCACCATCCCCTTAATCAAAACGGTCACCAGAAATGTCCCATTATGAAAATGTAGAAAGACCGACATTCGAACGGTTGCAAACTTTCCTTTTCGTTTATTTCAGCAGCAATATGTTAACCTCGTTTCAAAGTAAAATACGTCGATGTACGCTTTCTGTCAGCCTGGTCTTGAATTTTCGCTGCACATGATGAACGTGATGTGGCTGGCTAGCGTGACGGAGGGGGGGGGCATAGTAACGTGTTACATGGCGGGTTATTTTATTCGATGCAGTGGTGACTACCGGTGCTTTGATCTTCGTTCATGGGTTTGGCCTTACATCGGAATATCTTCCATCAATCATCCGCCATGCCCTCGTTTTTACACGCGCCACGTCAGTCGACTGGTCTCCCATCTCTTTCTTTTGTGAGTGGTTGATCAACATTCTGCGTGAATTACAGCCGTTGCGTACCCAGTCTTCATTCGGCCCAAAGGATTATCAGAAGTGAAATAGTTTGAGGTTTGAATCGCGAACAGGTATCAGGTATGAGTGATAGGCAGCCGCCGTCTCAGCCTACCGAAGCGGGGCTCCTGCACCACTGTTAGGTTCCTCACAAGCAGGAGGT